CCCCAAAACCCCAAAACCCCAAAACCCCAATGCTATTGATAGAATAAGAATTTAGTAATCTGCTTAATGAACAAATCATGTTGTAATAAAATCACTTTAAATTAATATTGCTAGAATTGAGACTAGAGGTCTTCTCTAAGTAGCCTTTTTCTCTACGGCTCCCACTGATACCTCCTACATTGATATTCGATTACTTTCCCTGTCCGATATAAGACTGATTTTAATTTTTAGGTTGCCTGTTAGGCTTTAATTCCAAAGTTTCCTTCATGCCTTCAAGATTAAGGAACCAATTACTCCACTCATCATATGTCAGCTCATCTTAGTTGCTAGAGTATTTACTGAATATTTCTTCAACAAACAAATCAAGCGCTGCTTCTATCTAAGATTCTTGAGCTCTGCAAATGCTTTGCTTGAGACCTTCTACCCCTCCATCATCAAACTGTATATTAGAAAGACTTAGTATTGTTCCTGATATATGTGCTTTCACCTCTTCCTTAGAAATTTTAGCATCTGGAGTCTTATCAAAGAACGAGAATAGCAATTGTAATTTTTCAGATTTAGAGCCTTTGGCTATCAGCGATACGAAGTTTATAAATTTATTGTAATCTACAGGAGAGTTAATCTAGGAGCTGTTCTTGATCATGAAAAATAACTCATTCGTCAGGTAAGTATCGTTAATTTCCATTAGTTTAAAGTATTCAAGCAATTTGCGCTTTCCGATAACCTATGATGAAGGTAAAGAAGATTCAGTCTTACTTAATCCTTAGATAACTTATCAAATTCTTTCCTGATTCTTGAAATTTCATCAGATGTAAATCTAGACTCAGCCACCTATGTTGTCTAGCTCATCAATGGGGAAATATAGGTTTAGTCTTGCTTTTCATCGCTTTCCTTCTGATTTTGATTATTTTAATTTTCCTGCTCGTTTTCTCCAAGTTAGCCTTAACTAATGGTTTGAGTTAAATTATTGAGATTTATTATACACATAAGGTTTGATGCTGGGATATAAGATCTCTTTTCCAGATGGTCTCATAGAATTGACTTAGCCATTAGCATTGCCCATTTTATAAATAAACTATAATTATTTATAATTTGAGAGCAATGTAAATCATACCTTTAAAAATTTAATTCTATAAATTCTTTATCAATAAAGGAGGTTCAGATTTCTAATCCTCACCTAATAAACTTATTCATTTAAATTCAAGCCAAACTCATCTTAAATGGAGTCCGATCTTTACTATTCACTGATGTTAACGTATTTCAATCATTCATCGGTGGTTTCAATGAGGTTTCTTAATGTCTTGAAGCTGTTACACTCTGTCCTTGATCTTTTATTGAGTCTATGAGAATGAATTCTTAAGCTTCTCAATAGCTTCATTCTATGCTGTCTGCGAGTTCTTAAGCCTACTCAGGAGCTAGTTCTCTAATTCTTCCATTTTCCTGATTCTCTCTGACTTCTCCTATATTACTTGTGTGTTTTTCTCAAGTCTGAACTGATAAAACTCTTTTCTTTCACTTTCCTTTTACATATGTATGTCTTCTATTTTCTTGCGAGCCTCATGCAGAGACTTCTAAACTCTATCACGCTTTTCCTGATTGATCTAAGTCTTAAGATTTTAAATGTCCATTGAGTCTTTTCTAATCTGCTCTCGCTGACTTTTGATTTCCAGATAATCGTTACGTTTTTGATTAAACAGACTCTATGTTCGAACCTGTTTTATTTACATTGATTAATTCTTGAGTTGGTTAAATTTCTCTCTTTCCATTTCTAGCTCCTGCTCTCTCTTCATGCGTTACTGCATTCTCTCAATGTATTCCTGCTCATTCAAAGCTTTGATTTCCAGCATTTTCTCTGCTTTCTATCTGGTCTCCTAAATCTTCTTCATTAGCTTCCTCTCCTCATTTTGAAGCATTTGCACTCTGTTTTGAATTAGTTTTTCCTCTCTCTCCACTGTCTATCTGATCATTTAAGCTTGCAGTAGACTGGTGGGACTGTCGATTCCAGAAGTGTTTATATTGGTTGGCATCAAGTTGTTAGTTGCTGATGACTTGAAAGAGGAATTCGACCGAGTAGTATTGTTCTTAGGTGATACAACATTCATCTTCAGGTTGTAAATCTGTTGAATCTAATCCTAGGAATTTTTAACTGTCTTTGGCTAGGATCCGTTAAGTGTAGGGGATGTCTTCTAATCACTGAAGTTGCTCAGATTTGGCATAATGTTAGAAGTATTAGCATTCTACTGCTAGTTACCATTAGATACTGTGCTGTTGTTCAAGTCCAGTTGAATGTTCTTCTTCGAACCTTATTCTTTCTTGGACATTATATTATACTGTATTAAATTTATTTCACTTAGAAATTCTTAATACTTTTCTGAGCTTCGGGGTTTTGGGGTTTTGGGG